AAAATTATATGCTCTTGGGAGTTTGGAGGCGCTACATATAATTTTAAAAATCATGTATGATTTCCTCGCAATAATTTCTTTTGTCATTTACATGCAACCAAATTATTGCCCTGAAGCATCATTTAGTATTCTTTATACCATTCCAAAGAATTAAAGTTATCTTCGCCGCCCATCCAGTGTAGTGGTTAGTGACTCTGACTGCTTTGCCGTAGGGCCTGGGATGGACTCTCTGTGAAGATATGGATGTTTGTAAATGGATAGTACTTTCGTAGCATAAGGGTACTCTAAATAGCCGTCGAACCGCAAGTCCTCTCGTGAGGATGGGGGAGAGGAAGAGATATTGGAGGCATCTAACCTTCCCGGGGTGTTCTCCCTCAAAATTGGTGCGCAGAACCGAGCAAAATCGTACTGTCACCTGAATGGTGCTCAAAGCTACGGTTGGCGACAAGTGTAAAAATCGAGCCACTTGCCTCGATGAATTTCGTAAACCTTGATCTATTGTTACTGCCCCGATCAGGTGTGGCATAAATAACAACAACAAAGGTTTCTTAGTTGCGTCTTGCTTCCTTTTTCTGCATTGCTTTTGTTAGACCTGTATTGTATGCTCGAGCATGTTCTTTCATTACGATATATATATATATATATATATATCAAACGTCCTCCCGTTGGTGTGGTGCGGTAGTTAGGAGAGAGGGTGCCAGCTCAGGTGTCGTCCGCGTCACTTGACCCTGGTTCAAAATTACGCGGACCGTCCCCAAAAGTCCTCGTGTAGCTGAACAGTGGGACGTTAATATTCACTCACTCATATATATATATATATATATATATATATATATATATAATTTTACACACCATTTTATTTAATTTTATTCTAAATACAAACGTACACACATACTTATATAAAAATCAAACCTGATTTGGTAAGCTTCACAAAATAAATTGCTGCCTTTTAAATCTTATAGTGTTCATGAACTTCAAAAGGGAGGCGGGGGGCTTTTTTTCTTCGAAAAAAAATAATATTTACTGAATTACTTATAACATCACCTTAATATAGCCTCCCTATTAACTAATAGATTGAATGGTGTAGTGCTTTTTATAGGTATAAAAATAAATCTCAAATAATACTTTTTTTAATAAAATTTCTTTTTTTTAATTTTCTTATTTGTAACGGACTTTCTGGCTGATAGTATATAATTCTTATACATATTTTCTTATGAATAGTGGAATTACACATATGTCTGGAAAATTGTACTCCATAAAGTACAAAAACTGATAAACCTCTGCATAAAATTTTCCTCTCGTCAATGGCGGTTCGTGATTACATAAAAGCACTGCGATTAAATGTCGATTAACTCTCTGCAAGTCAGTGTTCTCGTAGATAAAACTACTCAACAGAGTGATTTTTGAGGCCCAGGAATTTTCGCTTAGCTGATTAAGCACGTACTGATTGGGAAAGATGTGTGTAGTCTGACGCAATTCGAACGGTGATAAGAATAAAAAAAGTCCTTACTCAGGAATTGAAAGAAGTAATTCCAAGGAAAAGAAAAAAAAGAATCTAATAATGAATTTAAGATAAGGCATCTGCTTTAGAAATTGCAAGTAGCAGCAAAATAAAAAGTGGAGACGTGATGAAGAATATTTAAAGATTGTTAGCGTTTTAATATTTTAACTTTTGGATCGATAAATAGCAATCGCTATTGAAAATCAAGCAGCATTTAAATGAGACTGCATTGTTTTTAATCATTGACAATTTTCTTTCAAAGTATTTGCAATAAAAAATTCTCCTTAAAAAGCTATTAATATCTAGGTTATAAACAGTAGATCCCAAGCAATTTCCAAGATTTACGAATGTGTTGATAATAAATATAAACTGTGTGCAATTTATCGAATAGATTTAAACTCTATTTCTACAAATCGGTTCTTTTCGAATGGAGAAACAAGGAAGAATTTTAAATTTTCATTGAATGAGTGCTGTTTTAATTATGCAAATGAACAGTAAAATACGTAAGCTTTAATTCGCAGAGCACAGGTTTAAATTACCAATTTTAATTCGACAAATTACTGAATAAGGGCTTGTAATAAGAAATTATTTTAGGTGCAACACTTTCTTTTATTCTCATGCGTAAATACTTTCAAGGACTGTAAATTAAAACATACAAATAAATAAATAACAAGTAAAATGAAAAACACATTAAGTCAACTCATACTTAAGTCAATAAAGAAAATTTTTATTTTAGTTACTTTTTATTAATTAGTTACAATTAATATAAATATGTATATACATATGACAAAATCACAATATTCAGTGATAAAATAGAAAGTGATTTTCCTTGCAATTTTCCATTTTCTAATCTATATATGGTGTTGGACTTTGTTTTTAACACGCTTTCATAAGTTTCACTTGTATGTAACGGAATCTTTGAACTCGATTTTTATCTAATTTAAAAGTTCAGCTTAATTCGAAATTTTTCACACTTGTCAAGGACCGATGACAATACAATAATTTCATAATTTTATTTCATTGTCCTGTTCAGGACATGAGAAATAACGATTTTCTGATTTGGCGACTAATTCATTATACGATATCCAAATTTGGCGCCTAGCTCATATACCATTTTCAGCTTTGGCGACTAATTTCGTATATCATTTCCAGTTTTGGCGACTAAAAGATTAAGTTACAACCCTAAAAAAAGTGAGAAAATGCATGTCAGCAATTTCTTACCATAATATAAACAATTTTCTAGTTTTTAACTCTCTTATAAGTTTCACTTGCATGTAACAAAATCATGGAATTCGAATTTTACTCACTTTAAAAGGCCAGAATAATTCGAAAGAACCAATGTCAATACAATAACTTCATAATTTTGTTCCATTTTACTTATCAGGATCGTCAGGAAAAAGGATTAACAGATTTTGCGACAATTCCGTATACCACTTCCAGATTTGGCGACTTATTGCATATAACATTTTCAGATTTGGCAACTAATTCCATATATTTTCCAGATTTGGTGATTAATTCCAGATTTAGCGACTAATAGATTAAGGTTGTAACCCTAGAATCGAATACACTTGCGGTATTTGAAATAATACAAACAAAAAAGTGTTTTTTCTTTATGTGATAAAGGGGAGGGTGGGTGCGTCGATATTTCTTAACGTAATATAAACGTTTTTCTGATAAGAAAAATAAAATGAAAGACTCGTGCATGTGAAAAAAAAATTATGTTCTAACTGTTACATATTTTTTTGTTTTTATAAAACAATACGCTTAGAATACGATACGTTACAATGTTTTTATTAACTCGCTTTCGTGTATGTTTGTCCAGGTGGAATTTTGTAATTGATTTTAAACTGACTTCCCGATGAGCCAGAGACTGAAATTCGGACCATAGCTCAAAAGTGGATGACAATATATGAAAATGTGAAAAAAGACAAAGAAAAAAGAAAAGAAAAGTAGGAATTTTCTATTTTTTAGTCCGTTATAAAAACATGGGACATTATTTTTTTCATAATTCGAACTTTTCCTTCTTAACACACTTTTATTCGTTTGACGTGTCTGTATAGAGACAGAATCTTTGAAACATAACGATACGGGACTCGACCAAGCCCGTATCGTTAACGAAAACAGGCCCCATAAACAAAGAGAATAAAGAGCGGGGCCCGTTAATTAATATCCATTGAAGAACAAGATTTATTCCAGCAGCCACATAATTCCGACTCCAAATATCAAACTCAAGGATAAATTCAACAATGAATAAATGATAGTTTAAACAACTGAAAAACACGCTTTTATTGTAGTTCGAACTAAAATTTTAAAAATAACTTATAGTTTAAATAAACTACAAAAATACGCTTTTATACTGAATCCAGCTATAAAGTAAAATAATAAAAAATACTTTATATAAGAATAAAATTATTAAAGAGAAAATTAATGTCTTGGGGTAAAAGCGTGGGTGCTTTGTACAAATTTTATACTAACTGAGGATTTCAGAATAGAAGTTACAAATTACAAAAATTGATATCAAGCACCCCACGCTTTTACCCCAATGGCATTAATTTTCTCCATATCATTTTATTCTTATTTAAAGAATTTTTTTTATACTTTTTAGTTGGATTCAGTATAAAAGTGTATTTTTAGTTTTTTTAAACTATGATTCATTTCTGAAAATAGAAATCAAAAGAAAGATTCGTGCATGTAAACTCTGTTTTCTAAATTCTCTTGTCGGATCTGAGGAATGAAACATGATTCATTGCTTCATTGTACCAATACACAGCTGAGAATTGATTCGGAGATCACCAGATAATTGCAAGTTTCTGAGAGAATATTGAACTATTTTTAGTGAAGAATGTCGCTGATTTAACACCGTATTTCGCATGAAATTTTCAAACTTATCCTATCCAGATTTCCTTCAGTTGGCTGATCCTACATTTTGCAAACCTAACCGAGTCGAGGCACTGATAGATGTCAATGGGTATTCAAGTATTTAAAAAAATGATGCCTTAAGATTAATTATCAATGAATAAATGATAGCTTAAAAAACTAAAAATACACGTTTATGCAGATCGAACAAAAAGTTAAAAATAAATTAGAATTTAGAAAAACTAAAAAACACTATTTTATGGTTAATCGAACTAAAAAGTAAAATAATTCTTAACATAGAATAAAATGATTAACGAGAAAATTAATGTCATTAGGGTAAATGCGTGGGGTGATTTGTATTATATTTTTAAACTATATAGGATTTTGGAATATAACTGATAGAAAATTATAACAATTGATGCCAGAACCCTCCCACGCTTTTACCCCAATGACATTAATCTTCGCGTTAATCATTTTATTCTTATATAAATTTTCTTTAATTTTTAGTTCGATTAACCATAAAGCGTGTTTTTAGTTTTTCGAAACTATAATTTATTGTTTTCTACTATTTATTCATTATAAAATTTAATTATTCTAATTCATATGTGTAGTAAAAAGGACATCTCATCCTCAGAAATTAGGCCATCTCCGGTGGTATTCACACCCACGACCTTTGGATTTCAATTCCAACGCGCTATCCATTTCGCTACAGGGACAACAGGGAACAATTATCTTTCTTATATAGGCAGTAGAGCTGTTATTTTTTATTGTTTCTATTTATTCATTTTTTAAAATAATTAATGAACTATTACTTGGAAAAATGTATTAACATCAAGTGCCATTCACTACAAGTTTAAACAATGTGTTTGAATTGAATGGATAAACAGAAAGTATTTTATTCATAATTAAAAATTTGAACAAGATATATATATATACAGTGGACTTTCTAATTGAAGTCTTGGAAGTACGAAACTCTCACTAATTCGAAGTATATGCAGACCTCATAGAAAAGCTCTTGATATTTCGAACAATGACAATACGTTTTGGTATACTCAATATTTCGAAGTAAAATCTGTGGCGGGTCAAACTACAACACGCGATAATCCGAAGTTGTTTTATTAAACTCTCAATAACTCGAACACTCACTTTCATGTAGAGTCCTGTAGGAAACAAAGAGATTGGACCTTACAAGTTTTGTGTTGTATTTTCTCTGCGTATCTCCCTGTAACGCAGCCCCTTTGATGCCTATCTATCTACTATCCCTTCTTTGTGTTTCCCGGTTCCTCAAGAAAAGAGTTTAACATGTGGCCTTACTAAACACTTCTTCAGAAAGGATGACACACTATTGTGAAGAAGAGATGCGTAAGATTATGTATTTTGCGTCAGAGTGACATAACGATTTATGACTCAGCTGAGTGGCATGTGACATCAAATATGACATGGGCCAGAATGGACCCTACCTTGAAGAATCAATGGTTTGCGGGACAATATCTGAGGGAACCGATAACAGATTAAACACATTTTTAAAGAAAACCGATTTTTTCTTTAAAAAATATTAATTATGTACAGTAATTCTCTTAATAATAGTTTTTAGTACATAAAAGTATTCTTTTAATATAGGACTTTTTTAACATGTATAATATTTACAGTGTATAGTTTACGTACTTTTTTTAAAGTACTTTAAAATACTTTTATACATAACTACAATTGTTGTTTAATTACATAGTTTTAAATTTAAATGTGCTAGAAAAAATTTATCTTCCTGTATTTTGGGAATTTCTTCTTACCCTCTTGATAATTCGAACTGTTGATTATACGAAGTTTTTCATAGGCCCTCCAACTTCGAATTATCTAGAGTTGACTGTATATATAAACAATTATATATAGGGAGAGAGCGAAGTAAAATAATTGGAATTAAAGGATGAGGATCTGTGTAGCTTACACCAATAAAAAAAAGCTTAAATTTAAACTACGACATTTTAAGACGAAAAAAGTTTTTTTATTTTATAATTTCATTTGTAGAAGTGGAGGGATTACAGTCTTAAATGGCGTAATTTTTGCTGAATTGTTAATTTATGCCTTGGTTAAGAAAAAGCATGCCATTTAGGATTGTTGTTACATGTAAAATCTGCCAAAAATCTAAGAATGAAATTGAATATAAGTTTGGAGAGTTAGGCATGCTCCTCTACCTTCCTCCGACTAGAAAAACTTTATCTCTAAGCCTCATCCTCATCACTTGATCTTAGGTCAAAATTGTGAGGTCCATCCCAAAAAGGTCAACTTTGCTTAACCATGTGATACACATTAACATTTGATATTTTCATAGAATTTTTATTGCGCTTTTTAACTTGTCAAATTTAAATTAAGTGTGGATTATTTATTTAAATTAAAGTATTTTGCATGAGAGCAAACTAAGGATTGAAAGGCCGGTATACTAGGATAAGAAATACCGGTACTTTGAGCGATTTGTACAATTTTGTAGAACCAGCATTAACAAGTTTAAGTATCGTTTTTTTTTAATGTACTAGAAAATTTTTAACATTGTCTCAACTATACGTTCAGGGATCACCAACATAACGAAACAGTGTACGTTTTCGTTTTTATGTCACCGTAACGGGCAATATATATATATATATATATATATATAATATATATATAAGGATAAAATGAAATTAGATTTGAAATTAAATTGCTAGTCCATTTCTAACTTTTTTATTTTCCCGTTATACATCTTCAAATATTAAATATACTACCCAGTTCGGGAATATAGAACACACACATTGCTCTAACTTTGCCGGCTCCGACCATTACATTTTATTACCTATATGTCATCCTTATATTCTCAAGTAATCCTCTTCAATCAGAAGCGTACTCAAAGAACATTTGGCTTCTGAAGAAGCCGCGGAATCTTGATTTTTAACACGTGTCCGTCTCTCTCGCTCTCTTACAAACAGATTACAAAATGATCTCATGGAATAAAGACGGTTAAATGAAAATGTCTTGAAGTTCACTAACAAAAACCACGACATATATATATATATATATACTCATAAATAATAAACGATAAAAATAACTAAGAATAACTTTAAAAAACATAAGAAATCAGTGGATAATACTTCGGTTTCATTTTCTTATTTATGTGATGAAGAGAATATGTTGGCAAATGTAAAAAAAAAATTCCAGATTTATTAAAGTGAATGGGGAGAAAGTACATGTGGACTCCATACACATGTAAAAATAAAAATTAATGCAAATTTGTTAAAGTTGAAAGAAACTAATCTCTCGATGAAGATACAAATTTAAGCACAGTTTATAAGCCCCAGCCATCCGAGACTATTGATTATTTTGAAAAAAGAAAAGATAATTTGTATGAAATTATTGCACAAAATTACGTTCCAGGCTTCGTGCAGTACAATTGATGCATTATGTCTTTTAAAATTTGAAATGGGTTTCTAAAAATTTCTAAAATTTATAATGGCACAACTGACTGAATATTAATATTATCTTTTTTTTCGATTAAAATAAATAATCCTTTACTTTTCTGTGATTTTTTATATACTGTTACAATTTATAAGTTACAAATTATTATTTTTTTATATTTACATTCTCTAATAAAACTGGCAAATATAAAAGTAACAAACGCCTATTTTATATTTCTATTATTTCTACTACCGATATTGAAACCGGTATCCCGGTATAAGATATGTAAAATACTGATTACCGGTACTGAACTTTTAGCCCTATATAGAAATTTCATGTTCAAACTGATATGTATAAATTTCATCAAACTGCGCATGGTTTTTTAAAAATTATTTTATTAAATTTGAGCAAAAATATAATGGTTATCTTACTAAGCATGGAGGATTAAAATCAAATTATCTGATTGATAGTTTATAAGCATTGATTTGATAGCAACAATAAGGCTATTGGCATGGAATCAACACGTGGACCAAACACATTCTGAGATATAAAAGAGCACCAAACTGCTTCCGAAATCATCCACTCCTACTCTCAGATTTTAATTAATAAAAATATTTTTATTACAGGAGAACGCAAGTCTTAGCGTATTTCGTTTAAAAAGGGATTAGAAAGTTTCAAAATACACACGCCAGCTCAGATGTCGTCATCGTCACTAGGCCATGATCCAAAATTATGAAGTCCGTCGCCAAAAGCCTCGAATAGTTGAATGGGGTACCGTTGATAATCACTCATTTGGCAGAAAAAACGCTGAGTATTAGTCAGCGACCATGGCCAATCGGCTACCGAAGTTAGAAAATCAAGTGGTAATTAATTAAAGTTTAAGACTGTAGATTATGAAAAAAGCTAAATAAAAATATAAGAAAATGCTTTTTATATAGCGTTATTATTTCAAAACTTCTGTTGGGATTATATAAAATGAGATGAATAAAAAGATGCAAGTAAAACTTCTTTTTATGTAAAATTGGATTATTTAACTTGTTAAATTAGAAGGATTTTTAATCTCTAAAATGGGCTAATCTCGTTTTTTCCTCTTTTGAAAAAAACTTTCATGTAAGCTTCTTAGTAATTTTTAAGCATCTTATGCACTTAAATTTTACTCAGAAATATAAATACTTGCATTAATATTGTAAAAATTAAGCTATTTACATTAACACTCTTTTCTGCCGTTTACGTTTTCAGGTAACAATTTATTTTTACTTCCTCTAAAATTAAATACAATGAAATTGCAACGTCTATTTTTAAATCCATATATGTCAGTAGAAATCTGGTACTTTTTTGCTGGATAAATTTAAACTTCTGATTAAACTTTTCTCTAAATGCAGGTAAAATTCTTTTTCTATAGATTTAAATTTAAATTATGTAGTATTCTAAGCATTAGAATGGAAAAAAAATATTAGTGGATCACAAAACATGTATTAATATCATTTTAATTTAAAATACACTTCAACTTTTGTATTTTTAAAGCGCATTTCTGAAAAAAAAATGATATATTTATTAACTCAGGAGATAAAGTAAGTATAATTATAATTTATTCAAAGAAAACAGTTAAAAATAACTCCAGTGAATTTATATGAATACAGTACACGTGTTTAATTAAATAGTAAAAGATTTTATATTACAAATAACTCTTTTTATGTTTCTGATGTCTCTCTTCTTAAAATTTACTTATATTGTAGTTTTCGCAAACATAAACATCGAGTTTATTATTAATATTATTATTCTCCTTATTATTAAATACCCTCGACATATTTGTGTAAAAAATATTGATTACTATTAAAAGGTACTTAAATCAAATAATTCATATGATGTTTTGAATTTTATATGGGTACAACAAATTAAAGCACAATAAAAGTAAAGCATTAAAAAATAGTGAAAAACTCGAGTACAAATATTTTATATAGTCTTTTCTTACGTTATGAAATTTCTTAATACGAGTTCACAACATATTTTAAACAAAAGTTACTATAAGAAATTACATAATTTCAAATGGTCGTATTTACTAGTTTGTAATTTTTAATTACATATACGCTTAGCATGTGATGTTACAAATCAGGGGAAAAAATGTAAAACATTTGCAAAAAAGTAACACAGTTTATCTTCATTTATTAATATTCTTCTTCCACTCTCTAAAAAAAAAGAATTTTACTTTCGAAGTAATTTTAAAAGATTTCTAAATTATTCCCCAAATTTCTTTAAAAATTTGAATTTTGTAAGACCAACAAATTGTGTTTTAAAA